TTCCCTTTGATGCTTTTGTTTCAAATAATTTCTTCAAGGCCGTTTTGTTACTGAACTCTTACTGCCACTCAGGAAAGAATTTTGCAGATGCCGAATGCAAATTCTATAACAGTGATGAGCTTAGTCTGAGCGTGAGAGAATCATGCCATTCCACCCCAAAGAAAGTGAAAGCCCAAAGCATGCACAGAGTGCACTCAGATACAAGGAATGTCGGAAGTGCATTTCACTTTATTTGGGAAAATGGTGCAACAGCCCGTAGTACTACAGCACATCTAAAAACTTGTTTATAATTTTAAACCCAGTATCTTACCTCTAAAGGATTCCATATAAGAAGCTGCAGTCTTATTAAAGGATTAAAAAGCTTTGGTAAACATAAGCCAATATAAGCATCCTTGTAAGAGGAGGAGTACTTGGAACGCCAGGCTTCGAACTGTGACTTAATACAGTCAATTGAATAAAAGCTTTCTAATACGTCTTCAAAAACTTTGCTGGACTCCTTCAAAATGCGATCTAGAGGAAAAGTTTAAGTATTTGTAATACTTAATTTGACTGAATTTGGTTAATTTTCAATACATTCATTTCAATTACTTCTGTTATCTAGGTTTGACATACCTTAATTTTATACCTCTTTTTGGTATGCATCTTAATGCATCTTATACCAGAAGATATGGTTAATTTTGAAGTAACAAAAATGCAAAAGAAAACAAAAAGTTAACCCTTTCTACTGTGCTCTACCTACACAATGCAACAACAAAAACTAAACAGTGCGCTGACATTAAGGTGTCCATTTGGTATACTGTTGTATCACGTCAAAGATTTTACATTAAGATATTGTAAGGTAGCACAGTCTAATTTTCTGAATGGCACAGACACTTGGAAGTTGGTAGAAGTGGACTTCAGCTATATGGGTATCATGTCCCAAGTGTGATGAGACATCCCTGACGAGCTGATCAAGTGAGCATTCCAGTAAGCATGGGTTCTCCCATGTATACATTTGACAGTACAGAACTACTGCATGTCATAAGTTTAACTACTACAATGACTGGGAACACTATTTGCACTGACAGCAGTTTTAATAAAGCCATAATTAATCAATTAAAATTATGAAAAATTAGAGAGTTAAAGAATTAGAGTTCAGTCACTAGACACCACCCATTTAGTTAAGATGTATGCAACAAGACACTAGAATTGTTACAGAATTCAAACAAATATGATACGGTTCTAAAAAGATGTCATTACATTTCTAAACATTTATGCCAAATCCAGGGAAGCTCTCCAAGCAGCCATTTACCAAACTACGAAAGACTTCAGAATTCTACAGGCTCTATAGTATTATGCTTTATCACAAGCAAAAATAGTTTTCTGAACAGCTTTTGGACAAAAAAGTTTTCAACAACTTAACTACCAACCTCCATAGAACTACAAAGTCTACTGTGGCTAATCAAGAAAATACTGCATTATGAAATGCAAAAAGACATTTGAGTTGCAGGAGAGAAATCAAAATGAGTTAAGGCAAGATCATATAATAAGTTGGGTTACAGAAACCCATTGTTCACCCTTAAATTCACTTCCTGCTAGATGAACAATTTCATTCTGGCTAAAATGTCGCTGTAAATGGGACTGTAATTACGTTAATTTTCTATGTGATTTTATACCAAATGGTTTTGGTTAAAGCTGTTTTTAAGATTATACATAAAAGAGGAAAATTGATAAGGGCTACGCCTATTAAATGCTTGGACTATTTTATTATCTTGTCATTCTAAATCTGAACATATTCCATACTGCAGAAGTCTGCATATTTTTTCTAGATATTCAAGTCCTCTCTATTCTGAACAACTTTTCTAACCTCGTTCCAGGTTGAAGTTAGTAATATCGGTTGAAGTTTCTTCATCATCACTGGAAAGGCCTTCAAGGTGATCTGCTATCTTCCCAGTTTGCTCTCTTGCTTGCCTTCGACGGGCTCTGTAAGGCAACAACGAAATTAAGGGTATAAGCTATTCATTATAATGTTTTGTATAAGTAACAGTTTAGCCATAATTTATGAATCTAACATAACTCATAGCAAAGACAGTTTCTTCATCCTCCACCGTGGCAACTAAAACTTCAGGCCCCTTCACACATACTACAGCTGATTTCAATAACTTTAACAAGCACCATCTGATTGACTGCTTTCATGCAGAAAGCCTGAATATCTGTGGACATCCTTGGCTAGCATATTAGATGAGGCAGTTGAACAGAGGGGCTGCAATGAAGAAAATTCTGTTGGAAGCAAAGTAGTGACAAACAGGATAACCATCTGTGTTATTTAACTTAAGTATTCCCTTCATTACTTTTTATGCTGTCCAGCTTGTAAGCTCTCCAGGACTGTGCCAGACCTTTCTGTAACTTAGGACAACACAGTGATTTCCACAAAGTTGACCAGAGCCAATCAGTGTGGATATCTTAAATCAAGGCGTTTTAATCACTAAGTGGAAAGCACTAATTTAATCATCTTCCCCATTTCTATATAAGTTATTTTGTAAAGAAAGATACATTCTCACTGATTGATATAGCCACTGAAACATGTAAATGCAGAACTTAGAGCCTTTATGCAAGATCTGGTACATCTTTTTCCTACCTGAGAGAGATACCATAAGCATGCACACATTTACTTAAGCAATTGTACAGCTTAAATATTTTTAAATTCTTATTTTAGAATGCTGAACAATATATTGCATTTTTACTACATACTCAATTTTTTGCTTATATTTTATATCAAATATCCAGAAGCATTGTAAGAAGTTCCTATCTGGGCATGTGTTTAGCAAAGAAGGCTAAACTGGGATATCGTTTGGGGAGTTTTTGTTTTACATCTTATTTTAAATATTCTACCTGCTTTCATAAGTTTCTCATCTTTTATTGTAGGCCACCCCAAGCCTTCATTGAGAAGAGCAGAATATAAATCTGATAAATAAATATCTGCTTTAAAGCAGAAGTACAAGATGACCTAAATGACGACTCTTCAGAAATACACAATAGCAGCTCCTGGAATTAAGAGGCCAGAACCCAATGCCTGTGGTGACTTTACTAGTAAGACAGCCTCTGGATCCAAGAGGTTCAAGCTCTGAATAGAATGATTACCTATGGTCACTTATGGAGCTTGACCTGCTCAACCCGAATCCTTCCTTCTATCTAGAAAAGCATCAGTCTAACTCAAATATTTGACAGACGTGTGTTAATTCTGTATATTTATCTTCTATTTAAAGATGTTTTAAGGGATAACTTTAGACCTTAACATATTTTGTATAAAATTCTGGTTTCCTTTTTAAAAAAATAAATCAATCAGTCAATGCTGACCAAATAGGCACCAATTCCTCCCCCACCCCTTGCTTTACCTTCTAGCCTCCCTTTCTGCAGTTCGGCGTTTTACTTGCTCTTGATAGAGTGCTCTATCTCGTCCAAAAGAATCAAGATTTGGTGCCATCAGTGCTTTACCTGCAAGCCGATATTAAAATGAATTAAAATACTTTTATCTACACTTATAGAGAATAATGTGTTGTAGGCAAACTCATGACAGCCTTCCAGTTAATGTAAATTGTTATATTATGAGGCAGTTGAAAAATAGACACCTAGAAGGTTGAATTTGTGGCTCCCTAGTTTAAAAGAGGAAGCAATGGAGGGTGGACTCATGCCAAAGAAATTCCAGAGTTAAATCAAATATAAAACTGATTTCAATGCACTTCATTCTGCTCCCTCTAATATTGATGCTCATTAAATTATCACAAAATTGAGTGGTCTTAAATAGCATTTAAGCTGCTAGGTAGAAGATGGAAATGCTACTGCTGTTATAAACACATTACTGTGCAACTTTTTAAAAATAATGTGAGAACGAAAATAGAGAGAGAGAAGAGAATGGGGAGAAAAGGAATTGTAGAGTAAGGTTCAATATTTCATATTCCTATTAATGCGGTGTTCCTCCCTGGAATAAAATGATTAAGTTCACTAATTTACTTGAAGTCCTACACATTCATCAGAGCACATTTTTTCCCAAGGCAATTCAATAACAGATTATTCTAATTAGGTGTCATAAATTTTGCTCTTAAATCAGTGAAGTAAATGATAATAAATGTCAAAATTAACATGAAACTCTCCAGAGGGCTTATACTTGCCCCCACTATAGAGGGGTGGTTTAAACCACAGAGCCTTTGTGTATGTTCCATGGATTATTTCTGAAGGGACTTACTGATTGATGGGAGGATGCAATTTTCTAATTAGGTAGTATATGAATTTTCACTAAGCCTTGACCACATAGGTATGTAAGAGGTATACGTGTGGATATCAACAAGTAGGGTCTCACATGAACTTCTGGTGGCTGCAGGACATGTTTTTCTACATTCAAAACAAATGCTTTTTTATTATGATTTATGTTAAATGGGAAACCTCTACCCTCTCATGGGCAGGAGTCCAAATCTAATAATTACAGAAAAAAAGTGTTCAAAAGCAGCTATTTGAAATTTTGATAAATATCTTCTAGTCTGGAGAATTAAAGCTTTCCAAAGAAGAGAGAGATGAATCAACATTGCACAAGTTTTTTTTAGAATGATTTCCATGTTTGAAACAATGGTTTCTCTGGCTTTTCAATGACAGATGCTTCATAAAAAGTTAAAATGCTTGAACATTAATTTCCATGACCTGCTAACAAAGGAAAGTTTTAACAGATATTCTCTGATTTCCTAACTTTGAATTATTTTTTCAAAGTGTCCAAAACTTAGCACTTTTACAGTTTACAGACTAAAATGTAGTCTAAAAATTAAGAGACTCTTCAGATGATCAAATTTCTTTATAATCCTAATCAAGAATCAACTGCAGATGTAGCCTGAATTCCAAGGACACTTCAAATTATTTGATCAAAACAAATCCTGACACAGTTTGAAGTCAAAACATAACTACTCTCACACATTCTGAATGCTAGGAAAGAAAGAAAATATGTAGTTAAGACTGACAGAAAGGAGAGATGAAGTCTCAGAATTAGAGCAGATTAGTATTTAAACAAGAGACTAGAATACTTTTAACCTAAATTTGCTTCTACCCATCACAAGGGCAAGGATAAATATTTAAATCAGTCATGCTGTGCAGCATTTACTTTTAAAATTAAACCATACTAAGTAAACAAGGTTGTTTAATGAATAATAAAAACCTTCAAGATGGACTGACTTGAATGGCTTGAAAACTCCGAAGATTCATCTTTAATATCATCTTGTCGTCTTTGGACAAGGCGCGAAGCTCGCTGTTTGTACAGCTGGTGCATTGATGATTCAAGTTCATTTATCAGAGGCACCTGTAAAAATATAACACACTACGTAATATCAAACTCTTCAGGTGCTTAATCTTCTGGGGTACCATGCTATTCCAAGATGCAATGCTGCCACTGTAGTTTAAGAGGCATCAGTTTTCTTTTACTTGATGATCTTTGAAGCCAATGTATTTTTCAATTTGGAGACGCTGTATGCATCTGATAGAGATTGTAATAATGCTCTTCAATTACAGCAGGCATGATCAGCAAGTAGCTTCCATCAATTGAGCAATGCTGAGTGAAAAGCCCAAATAATAAGCCAACTGTCAGACGGATTCAGAACCAGGGCATTAGTATCACACAGGGGTATTCTGTAGGACTCTTGGGCACGCAGAACTCTTTTACACTATAATTTTAAATGCTGGTTTAGTCTAGAGAGAGAGAGAGTGCACTGACAGCAAAGACTGGAAATCTGAAATATATGCTGAACCTACTAAGTCAATAACAGTTATTCTGATACTGGTATCAACACTGAAATTGTACCAAAATTTGACAAAGTTGAAATCTGGTACAAACTGAAATTGTACCATAACATTATCATTTAAACATGGTCTGTACCAGCATTTTCAAAATTTTGGGGGCCATATCCCCACTTTCAGTCTCAGCTCAAGAACTGAATTTGTGGAGCCCACAGCCCTACTTGTAAGTTGTGATCCCTACAAAAAGTTTGTATGTTTATGCCAGCTGGTGCCCTAATACAAAGATTTACCCAAGTGTATCGTTTTGACTTCAATGGCACTCCTGGTGTCAGTAAAACTATGTACTATGCCAGTCTTTGCAGAACTAACCTTAAAAAAAACCAACAACTTAGGATCTACTACTACCTTCTGAACTAAGAGTGGTGAATCTGAGTTTTAACTTTGGAAGTAAAGTATTTATGTAGGGCAATATGTGAGAATGGTGGTGCCAAACCTGATTTGATCCAGGTCAAACCTGATTTGATCTCTGGAACAAAATCAGGCCTGCAACCAATAAGACGTCTACTTACAGCCACAGTTAGCTGTCACTGTATTCACACTGCAGCTGGGAACCAACTTTGATGGCTCAAAACTACCTACCATAAAATTGTTTTTATACATGTATTACAGGGGTCAACAGCCTTTTGCTGGTGTACTCAGGAGCTTGTGACCTGGCTGTGGCTGAGGGCAGGAGGTCTCCACCTCCTTCCCACCCTCTCCCCTGTCATCAGCCAGTTGCTTGCACTCACTCTTGTTGCAAGATTCCCAACCCCTCAGAAAGGGAAGTGCAGATGTAACAGAGCAGCAGGCTCCCCAGCAGTGCAGCGCAGCTCTGTCACCGATCCCCCAGATCAGACTGGACTTTGTGGGCCAGATGCAGCCTGCAGACTATAGGTTATCGATCCCTTCATTAAAAGTAGTCACTCAAGACCATAATCCATTAAAACTGGCAACTTTCCATTTCCAATAAAAGGAAAGGAGATAGGAAATCAATAAAAGGTTTGAGAAGTTTCTTGCTGTAAGACAGACACTTAACTTTTTTACCTATAGTTTTTCTTGAAGTCTTTTGCTGACAAACCACTACTGTGTTTAAAATTACAATAAAAATTGAGCTAGCCCTGTATTTGAAGATACACCTAAGAAGTCTCCCACCCCCACTATTAAATGGAATAAAAAGCAGACAGAGGCTGATTTGTCTTCCAAGCGAAACACTGCTGAAATATAGCAATTAACACTTAACATGGAAAGCCATACCTTGTTTTGTGACCTTACACTCACACACTAAGCAGCATCAAGACAATTTGGTCTTAGAGTAGAAGACAACTAAATTCCTGCAAGACAATGATTCAGCAGGTGGCACCCTGCTATTGGAGGTGCCATCTTTTGGAGAAAATTTAGAACCATTGTTCTGACTATCTGTTTTCATTCAAAATCCTGTAGCATTGTGCGCTCTGCAAGAAGCATTAATTTGAAGTGTAGCCAGGAAAACAAGTTACACTCTATATAGATTTCTCTTTGCACTTTCACTTGGATATACTATTACAGCCTAATTCTACCAGTCATTACTTGTGAAAGGATTTGATACTGATTTTTCTATTTTTGTTCCCTAAAACATGTTCTTATAACAGGTACCACACTCTACCCTAAGCTGCACCTCAATGGGGATAAAAGGAAAGAGCATCGGGGTTCTAAAACTAATGTTATAACCTTTAAAAAAAACCCAACAACTAGTAAACCTGATTTGGAAATATGTTTTACCTCT